GCATGGGTGGAAGAGGAGACAGGCTGCTAGTGAGGCCATAGACAAGATGGATGGCAAAAAAACCACAGAAGCTACTGTTATCTATCAGGGGAGAAAAATGGGCAAATCCACCGGTTTGTGCTTCTTTGCAAAACGCAGTCATTCGTTGGCTTAAGTGGGCCGTGAGTATATGGATTTGTGTTGACAAAGCCTGGGTCAGGGCCAGGAAATTCAAATGCACCCTCTTCACATCCTAATTCATAATCCCCTATAATTCAGGTAGCAGCTACAAAGCTCAGCCCACAAACACAGATAGGCTATGAAATATCATTTTCATAATTTCCTTAAAATTGACATAATTTTCACTCTGAGTCACCATCCTATCAGGAAATCGCATCTGATTTGGGGGCTCCTCACCTCCCAGAATTGTATGAGAATCCAGGAGTTACAGACATACAGCCTCTAAATCTCCAGTCTGTGTGGGTCACTGCTGCCTTCCTCAGTGACAAAGCCTACAGTGGTCAATTAAAATCTGGCCCGTCTCTGGGGTTTCCATGCCATGCATTGGGCATAAGAATCCTTGTTGAAGCTGAGAACCTTGGAATATTAGCTACAGTCCTTTAGTTTCAAGCAACAGAAACCAATTCTGGTTACTTAAGCAAAAAGAAAACAAAAATCCTCACAACTGGGCCAGTAAGCAACGTCATGATAAACGGAGAAAATATTGAAGTTGTCAAGGATTTCATTTTACTTATATCCATAGTCAACACCCAACGGAAGCAGCATTCAGGAAATCAAGTGACATATTGCATTGGGCAAAGATATCACTTTGAAGACTAAGGTGACCCAAGCCATGGTATTTTCAATTACCTCGTACGCATGTGAAAGCAGGACGACGAATAAAGAAGACCGAAGAAGAATTCATGCCTTTGAATTACGGTGTTGGTGAAGAATACTGACTATACCATGGACTGCAAGAAGAATAAACAATTCTGTCTTAGAAGAAGTACAGCCAGAACGCTCCTTAGAAGTGAGGATGGCAAGACTTTGTCTCAGGTACTTTAGGCATGTTATCAGGAGGGACCAGTCCTTGGAGAAGGGCATCATGCTTGGTAAAGTGAAGAGTCAGTGAAAAAGAGGAAGACCTTCAACAAGATGGATTGACACAGTGGCTGCAACACTGGGCTCAAATATAGCAACAATTATGAGGATGGCACAGGACTGGACAGTGTTTCGTTCTGTTGTATACGGGGTCACTTTGAGTCGGAACCAGCCCCATGGCACCTAATAACAACAACAAGCCAAAAGGAATTTACTGAAAAGAAAGGACATGGAGAGGAGGTCATAAAACCAGGTTCAGGAAGAATAAGAACAGAGGCTGTGCTGAGGAATCCACGGTAGCTTCAGGGTGCCAGAGTGAACCATTTTTGATTCTAGCACCAAGGAGAGAGCATCCTGCTGGAATGACTTGAACCTTAATGCTTGCCTTTGATTGACATTCCCACCAAGACAGCAGGCAATGGGAAAAGAAAACCTGGGAGCTCTTTAGCAGAAGATCTGGGGACGGATGCTGGAGGGGCCCAAACAACAAAGGCCCACTACCAGGGTATTTGATATTTAGCCAGTATCCACCAGTATGGCAGGACCAATTATTTACGGCTGGTGTCTGCTCCCATTGTCCTAGCAGGTGTGAAATATTTTGGAATGAACTGGTTCAAAGTCCTGGTTTAGGCCTTTGCAAAAGGCTGGAAGAAAATTAATTGGCTTCAGGTTGGATTTGCTTTCTGCTTTGCCATAGTCCTGAGGCTTTTCTCCCAGCTCAAGGTTGCAGAGCTATGGAAAACACAGAAGGCAACACACACAGTAATATTTCAAAAAGAACTGAAGTTACCTAATACAGTTTCTACTCATAGTAGAGGATAGTAGGGACGAAGAGACATTTTTCCATTAAACTGTGAATGAGAGGGGGGCTTGTGGCATGGAAGTCGGGGATTATGGGATGATATTATTCTGGAAACATCTGCTTCTCAATTCCAGAGTAAGTACCACTGGGCAAGAACTGTTGAAAAGGTGTGAGCTGTGTTTCACCTCTGTACTTAACGTCAGCATAAAGGGCTTGCAAATGTCGCACCTCTTAAGTCTTTGGCAGTTTTGCTAATGACTGAAGCTCGTGAGAGAGAAATTATGTAGGAAAATGGAAAGGAGGAGAATTCTGAGCATGTATTAGTTAAAATCCTTTGACTGCAGGTGCCAGAAACCAACTTGAGCTAGCTTAAGTGAA